GAGATTCCAGGCGTTGGCAGGGACAACCGGAGTACAGGAATTGGGAGAACTGTCACAGCTGCTTCGGCCTGAATCCTGACGGGAGGCCGGAGGCAACCCTGGTGCTTTACATGTTAGCTGTTTTACCTCGCAGCAGTCCCACGAGGCCGATTTTTATTATTATTTCCATTCTAGAGGTGAAGAAAATTGAGGTCCAGAGAGGCTAGGTGACTTGCCTGAGTCTACCCAACTTGTCATGACAGAACTAAGATTCAAACCCATGTTGTCTGGTCCTCAAAGCTGTGCTCTTGGGAGGAAAGGGATAGCTGAGTCAGGAAAGTGCTTGCCATGAAAGTTTGAGGACCTGAGTCCCATGCTTGTCTGTTGTTATGATGAAATACCCCTTAGAATGTCACAAATGCCACCTTGGTACACTACCCACTTAGCTAAGTACTAAGTTAAAGTACTTAATTTTAAGTACTTTTCACTGGCTTCGAAATACCACTCTGAAATTAGGGGAATCAGTTTTCAAGTATTCTTTTTAGATTTATTTGTGTGTTTGTTTTTGTGAGTATGTGCGGGTATATGATTGCATGTGCACAGGGGTTGTACATGATCATAGAGGCCAGAAGAGGGCGATAGGCGTCTTCTATCACTCTCCATCTATTCCTTTGAGGCAGGGCCTCTCCCCAAACCTGCTCAGGATTTCTCTGCTAGACTGGGAACCAGCAAACCTCATCTTCCTGTCTCTGCCTCTTCAGAGCTCAGGTTACAGGTATGCAATGGAATGCCAGACTCATCACATGGGAGCTGGAATCTAAACTCCAATCCCCATGACCACATAACAAATGCCTTGAGCTGCTAAGTCTTCTCTCCAGCCCCAGTAAATCAGTTTTTAGTGCATAAATTTGGGGGGGGCACATTCACACCACAACAATGCTCTACAATATTACAGATTAATTCACTAAGTATAGACATTACCACTGATGATATGGGCTGGGTATGAGTAACGTTACATGGAGTGATGTTTACAGTTGATTTTCAACTAAGCAATTGTATGGGGTGTGCTTACAGGAGCGATGTGGCGTTTCCATACAGCATGCAATGTCAGGATCAGACCAAGGGAGTCTGTCGCATCCCTCACCTCAATCATTCACGTCTTTTTCTTGAAACTGTCCAAGTCCTCCTTGCTCGCTATTTTGAGATATACAATTAATTACTGTTAAGTGTAGTTGCCCTACTGTTCAACAGACCATGAGAAATTGTTCCTTCTGGCCAACTTCACCCCTGTTCCTTTAACCATCTCCTCTCCATCACTCTCTCCCCCACGCCTCTCCCAGGCTCGGCAACTATGATTCTGTGCTCTACTTCTCTGCTTTTGTATTTGAGGGAGATCTTGGAAGATTTGTGGTTTGCTGTCTGCGTGATTTCAGTTTCAAAGACTAAAATGGTGCAGATAGGATGATCCTCGGCTATCTCATTGGGCATGTCCAGTAAGAAGGCTTCGCTTCCTATTCTAATCCCCAGATAAGGGCAGCACAGTCAACATATCAGAGGGATGAATGGAAAGTCAAAGAAAAAAAAATGAATCACCAGGAGTTCTAGGGATGAATCTACAAGGCGTTAAGAAGCAATTGAGTCCGAAAAGTACTTGGTGACCTTCTAGTACTTGGGTGTGAACTTGATGCATCAGGAAACAGCTGGGGTGTTAGCCTGACCCTCACCTTGGTGCTGGGAAGGGATTCACTCTAGGCCAACAGCGTGTGTCCTACTCTGAGCTTTGAGTCTGATCTCTTGAGTTTCAGCCACCAGGACTCAGGTCAGAAATCCATCGCATCACCGGTGGCACGTATCAGATGGGCACATAGGGTAGCCCACTACGTCCTGTGTGAATCTCCAAGCTGATTTTGCCCCACGCTGACCAGTGTTATCTGAGACAGCAAGCTCTAGGAAAGCACAGCAGTGGGGTAGACAAAGGATGCTCCCTCTCAGGATGCAGTGTGGTCCAGGATGAGCCAGAAAGAAGCCCTTTCCCACTGCACATTCCCAAGGAGAAAGGAAGCAACTTTTTCCAGAGAGCAAAATAATAGGTTCCTAGACTCTCTGAAACCCATTATCTTAGTAATTGAATAAAAGAATTATAAAATGATAAAAAAAAATACCACCCTGAAAGAGAACCTTATGGTTCAAGAATCCATCTTACTAAGAGCCCGACTTCTTTATGTAGCTGAATGCCTGACCCATAAGGAGGAGCTACATAACCTCCATCAGTCCATTTCCTGACTCATTAAGTCAGCGTACTGAAGAATAGAACATTGTTTCTTCAAAGTGTTACAATATATAAATGAGTCCAGGCATTTAAAGAACGTGGTAAGACTGTGCCCAACCCTGAATGTTTATGCTGAAAACTACCTCCCAATATGACGACGTTGAAAGTTATGAACTACTGATGCTGGCGCTCCCCCTGAACTCCTGATTAAAGACTTTTGAAAAAAGACTCCCAGATAACCCTCTCTTCTACCTTGTGAGGGTAGTACAGTGAAAAGTGTCGCCTAGAAACCTGACAACCGGTCCTGCTGGTGCCTTGGGTTTGAACTCTCTAGACTTCAGAACTGTGAGAAGTAAATGCTAACTGCTTAACCAGTCCCTCCTTATAATATTCAAATCGATTAAGATGCTGTACCTGGCACACAATAGGGGCTCCAGATGTTCTGGCGATCCCTAACAAGGTGACATAATTTTGGGTTATATAAATATAGATATGGAAATGTGCATGTAAACACAAAGTCACCTAGTGAGTTCAGTGCTCATGTAGTGATATCTGGCACATCAAGGAACACGTGGGAAGAAGGCTACCCTGGCCCCCTACGCAATTTCTACGGTCCTCTGCAGGCTAACCCCCAGTGCCACCCCCCAAAAAGCAAAGGGTACTTTAGCCATCTATAAACTTTGGGGGTCTAAGATCACACTGTGGGATGGACAATGACTCTGAAGAACTTCAAACAGCGGCCAGCTGTCCGTGGATACCAGCAAGCTCCAGCGCCCCCACTCCCACCCCCACCCTTGCATTTAATCAAAAGTGTATTCAAAATATGATTCTGGGAGATTATAGCGGAGATTTGCGGGAGGCTCTCAGTGTAGGCAGAGGTAGTGGGAACAGATTGTGGCTGGGGGCCTGAGGCTGGGATAATCACAGGCTCAGACGCGCCATTCTCAGGCCTTGGAGTTCACTGACGCTCTGGAAAGACCTTGAGTACCAGCAGGAAGAACCGGCGAATCTAATGCTTACTCTGCCCCCTCCCCTTTCCCAGGCTTTCGCTGCGGAGAAGTCCCTGGTTTCCACCTGGATTCAGCAGGCTCTCATCAGCATTTTGGGCTTCAGTGGCCGGTTTCCTAACAGTGATTCAATGTGGAAAGGCCCCTCCACCCTCCTCTAAATGAATAGACCCTATGAGGAATATCCTAAACCTCCGCTGCAGTCTGCGGCTGTTGGTGGTGGGGTGTCTACCTGGACCAAGGAGGGGGTACGGTGGAGAGCGCCTTGAAAGAAACCTTCAGCTAATGCTCTTTATTACAAGCGTTAATCCTGCAAAGCCGACTGGAAATAATGTTTATCTTTTCGCAGTTTAATTTTCTGGACCCTAAGCCTCAGGTCAGCAAGGGCGACTGCAAAGTCCCCGGGGGAAGCTGGGGGGTTGGGGCTTGGGGTGGGACGGGACCAGCTGTTGCCCAAGAGCCAAACGCGAGGAGGGGGGTCTCCCAAAGAAGACCAGAGGGGAACCAAAGCAGGGCTTTGGACTGGAGCAGAAAGCTAGGATCAATCAAGCCGCAGATCTGAGATATCTTCTGGCTCCCTCCTCGAACTTCAGTTTCCTCATCGTGGAGGCTCTGTCGCCTGATGAAGATGGGCTATCTGGGAATCGTGTGGCACTCTGTACTTTGTGCCCTGGGCAGGGTTGAGGGAGCACCTTCGACAGCCGCTGGCTGCTGCAATATGAGCCAAGGACCAGATTCAGGGTTTCTGGCCGCTTGGGTAGTGCACAATCATTGTGGGGCCACTTGATTTTTGAATTTTAAAGACACGCCCCACTCCGAAGGGTTTTGTTGTTGCTGTTGTTGTTATTTTGTTTTTCCTATAGTCCCCCTAAAGCCCAAACTTCATTTCTCTCCACACTTTCCAAAGATCTTAAAATGGGATGCTCCTGCTGCGCCCCCTTCCGGCCCCAACGCTGCTCTGGAGGGAGTCAACCAACAGGGGCGGGTCTCACTGCTGAGTGGTCCAGCCCCAGAGGAGACTAACTGTGGGAGAAGTTCTCAAATGCCTATCAGCTCTCCTTCCTAGTCCCCATGACTTCCCGAGCTTCTTCCAAGGCCTTGCCTGGAAGCTGTAAGTTTGCTCCTTGACTGAAGTTGAGTCCCCTAGAGCTGGGACCTGGACCCAGGCAACTGCATCCAGGCTGGTTTCTATAGGCATCTTCATCTCAACCAACTCCTGACAGACTCACAAAGGGGCAAGGACACAAAGACCCTGCCCTGCCCCTCAGTTCTCAGTGCTTGACCTGTACTGGAAGGGTTTGCTGATACTTAAGATTAAACAGAAAATATTCCCTCTGAGGTCTGTACCAACCCCTCCAAACTGCCATATTTCATTGTTGGGTTCTGGGAAAGCAGTGGGCCAAGGGGCTGTCAAGTTTCCCTTCGAATAAATTCCCTTCGTTATTTATAAACACAATAAATTTATAACCTCAGTCCCACCAGAGAACAAGTATTGCTCCTCAACAACTCTTCTGATGTCTCTCTACTATTCAGTAACGGGCTTGTGCAGTTTCTAGGAAGGGGGTCACTCTGTCCTGGGCATTATGTGCGGCTTCCTAAGTTTCTCTCTCTGCTACAGAACTCAGGTCTGCAGCCCAAGACCCTGTGCCCAGAAGCCTTTGTGGCAACTCTGTGCCCCACTCCAGTGCCACCAGGCTTCTCCCGGCATCCCTGGCATTGACAGACTGCACACCTCGGGTTCATCTAGGTTATTTTTGAAGTTAAAGCCTGGAAAGGGGAAGGAGACACAGGTGGTAGTCTTTAGAGACCATTGCAACAAAGAAGTTACAAAGTGAGCGGGCTGGGCAGGGGTGGGTGAGCAGGAGGAGATGCTTTTCGGGCCCTCCATCCAAAGGAGAGACTTGGTAAGCAGACTGAGTATCCACTGGGCTTTCCTCAAGGTGCCTGCCATCTTCTCTCCAAGTCTGACTGGGCGCACATTTGCCTGACCAGCCCCAGCCCTGCGTGCAAGGATAGCAGCTAGGATGATTCTGTGTGTTTGTCTTGGGCAAAGTAAGAACTCCCGGTCCCTGCCAAGGCCTGGAAGCTTCTTAATATGAAGGTGAATTCAGAAGCAGCCATTTCCAGAATTATTCTGCAAACCGCAGCCGTTGCGCTAGCCTGCTGAGAGAGGAAAGATTGATTAAAACCCGAAGGCCACTTGGCCATAATTTCTAGAAAATCGGAGGTCAGCTTGTGTCCCACCCCAAGGGAAGCCAAGGTCTAGAGGCAATTTGCTTGTCAGAAGTAATGCTTGGGCAAGTTATGTGTGAATTCACATAACAATGTAACCCAATTTTCTAAGCCAAGAGCTAATCCTGAGAGAAATTACTACAAAGACCAGACTCTGCCATAAGTAATTGCTGGAGGCTGCCTAGTGCTTAGGGACTGTCCCTTTGTAGCGGCAAAGTTCCCCTTTACCAGGCCCTCAGACATCAGAAGAAGGGGACATTAAATGACAGTCTTGCAATGCTAGGGGTCAAACCTTTGGGAGTATCCTCAGGGACAGTCTGGACCTTTGGCTTCCATGTTGTAAAATTCAGAGGCTGTCTGCACTGTCCGAGTCTTTCAGTGGGCACACTGACCATTAGCCCACGGATGCATGGCCCACGATCTCAGAGAGCTCCAAAAGTCAGAGCACCTCTCGAACATGCTTGATTGATATCAGCCAAACATAGGCCCAAAAGTCTTCTGAAAGGACAGGCTGGACCCAAGGGTGCTTATAAAAGATAGGCCTGCCTGATCTGGGGCAACTCGCGGGGTCCTGACACAGGGCTAGACTGTTTACCTCTTCAAAGGTTACATCATGTGGGGGGAAGTTCTTTCCACAGCGTTTATTTTTATGACTTGGCTTTAAATTTTGGGAGTGTCTAGACTTTGAGACAGTGTCACACCAGATCTGGGGAAGGTGACAGGTTGGTATCTTTTGGACAGGCACACCCAGCGCCTCTGGGGTCCCACTACCTTCTGCTCCTGATGGGTACTGGAACCGCACTTCAGACTCCCTCCGCCTCGGGCATGGCGCACAGTTCAGTGGCAGTCCCTGCAGGGCGAACGTGGAGTTCCCAAAGGCTTTGGCTGCAAGAGAATCCTCTTCGACTGTGGAGTCTCTGGGGACCAGGAGTCGCCTAATGGAGATGGGCTGTCTGGGAATCGTGTGACATTCTGGACTTTGTGCCCTGGGAGTGGTTGAGGGAGCACCTTCGACAGCGCTGGCTGCCGCAGTGTGAGCCAAGGACCAGATTCGGGGTTTCTGGCCGCTTGGGTAGTGCACGATCATTGTGGGAACACTTGACTCTGCTGTAATGAAATCAGCTTCTCCGGATCGCGGGGCCTCAGTGAAGGGGAAGCAGGGTACCGCCAGACCGCACTCCCTGCTTTCCAAGCGGCCCCCTTGGGTGGCGGTGCAGGGAGCAGGCAGGGACAGCGCAGTCTTCTGAAAATCCGCCAGCCGGCGAGATGCTGAGACTCGTGCCTCCTCTTCGTCTGCTTCCTCCTCTTCCTCCTCTTCCTCCAAGTCTTCCAGGTCACTCAGTCGTAGTCCCTGGGCCTCCTGGCTGGCGTTAGCATCTGTAGGAAATCAAGAATGAGTGAGAAAAGCCTAGTACCCGAGGGAATCTCGAGGGAGGGTCCTGCCCAGAGAAGCTTTTAGCGAGTGGCGCTGGGCACTTTAGCGTTCTGGGTCGCCTCCCTCTGCTTTCCTGCAAGGCCTGAAGGACGCTCGCCCCAGGGGAAGAATTCCCCGCGATGCCTTACTTGCCCCGCCCCTCTGTTCTTCTGGACCTGCTAAGCCAAGGAAAGGCTACTTTACAGTGCTGGAGTCCCTCGGTTATAAAAAGGGGAGGGATACTTTTCCTTCAGCCCTAGCATCCGTGGGCGACTAGTGTCACGTTATTTAATCCAGTAAATATTCACGTGAGCAGAGCATCATTTCCACATGAGACATTTAGAACCACAGCAGTAAAAGGTCTGGGGGAGGTGACTTTCTAGTGGGACAGAGGCAGGGATAAAGTGAAGCCATTTTTCTTATTGCGATAAATATGAGAAGCGAGCAAAGCCTGGAAGGGACTTGAGAGTTTGAGTGAGGAGGGGAAGTCTTTCTGAGAGGACACCCTGAAGCTGAGAAAAAAGCTGGAGTTACACGGTTTCTCCGGGAGGTACTGAGGCAAAGGCCCTGGGGTTTGCATTAGAAAATCTAGTGGCACAGGTGGCTTTGGATCCGATGTTTAATGTCCTAAGGAACCTGCAAGGTGCGGGCTGGTGACTCGTCTGTACCTTTGGTGTCACCGGTCAGGCAGCCCAGAGCGTCTCCAGCACCTTCGGTTTTCTTCTCCTCGCCACCTTTGTTCTTGGGCGCCCACGTCATCTTGTTCTCTTTCTTGAGGCGCCGGCGCGCATTGGCGAACCAGGTGGACACCTGGGTGAGGGTCATCTTGGTGATGATGGCCAGCATGATCTTCTCGCCCTTGGTGGGGTACGGGTTCTTGCGGTGCTCATGCAGCCAGGCCTTGAGGGCACTGGTGCTCTCTCTTGTGGCATTCTTCCTTCGGCTGGCACTGCTCAGCTCCACTCCACTATACCTGTGAACAGACAGGGCTCAAATTCCAGGCTGGGAACCAGGGGCTTGCGCAGTAGAAAGTCCAGGTGCCTGGAAATAGAGCTCTGCTCCCTCCCCTTTCCACCCGGGAGAGGGCAGAGGCAGGGGATGACCAATGCAGGCCAGCCACCATGCTCCCATTTCTCACCTGTCATATTGATACTGCCCCAGAGTTGGCTCATAGGGGTAATAGGCCCCTGGCTGGGTCAGGCTGGGGGTAAAGTTTCCTGCAGGATCCTTAAACTCGTACTGGGGATTCTGGGTGGGGGGGAGGAAAAGAGAATTCAGGACTGCACAGGAGACTGATACAGGTGCTCCTGTAGGATCAACACCCCCGCACCCCCCCCCCCCGCATTGGCTGTGCAGTGTTGGGCATAGCCATTTGACACTCTGTGCCTCAGTTTCTCCCTCACTGAGACTGAGGCAATAAAGTCATTCGTGCTGGTAGAGTACTTGCTAGAGTCCTAGGAACAGAATAAGGAGCAATTGAGTATCAGCTACTAAGATGGCTGCAGCTTCTGGATTCCTCACCTCATATACACCTACTAGGACACTTCCCAGCAGACTATTCCTGACCCTTGGCATGCTTGTGATTTTTGGGTAAGTTATGTGAGCGTCTCTACACCTCAACTATTCACCTGTAAGCCAAGAATAATGACGACTTACCTACCTTGCAGAATTAAAAGAGATACAAATGCTTTCTAAGCAGTGTGGAGTTCTGTAAAGTGCTATGAACTTGGATTTTCCCTTACTCACTATGCTATTATTTTCTCAGCATTGTCTGCCCCATATAGATTTCTCTCTGGACAAGGTCACGGTAGAGTTCATCTGTGTTCACTGCCTGTACTCCCAAGCCTCAGTGTTCACTGAGCAGTCCAAGGCCCCACCCCCTTACTCACCAGGGCACCACATAGTGGGGATGGCTCTGGGCCATAGGGCAGGTACCCAGGGTAGCTCTGAGCAGCTGCATAGGGTGCTCCATAGATACCCAAGGCAGCACCCAGCTCTGGCCGAGCACTGCCCAGCAGCCGGCTGTCGTAGGGTGTACAGCAAAGAGTAGAGGCAGAGGTGGAGGCTGAGACCACATCTGACACCGAGCGCGGGACAGTTTCACAGCAAGCGGCACCGGAACTCGCAGACACCAGAAACTACAAAAGCAAGAGAGGAGTCGCTAGAGGTTAGAAATCCAGACAAATTCAGACACCTCTTGCCAGAGGTGGGTAGCAAGGAAGCTGCTCCATGCCTTCCTTCCTTCTAGTAGCCAAGTACTACCAGGTGCAGAAATTCTCTGCTGTCTGCTGGGATGGAAACTCAACTTACCCAAATCGCTCTTAGAAATGCAACCAGGCCATTGTTAAGTCTCCATAGTCCCAGGCACCTTTTGAAAAACAGGACCAAATCCCTGACTCTCCCCATGGGATTCTTAAAAGGCACAGTTAGAAGTTATAGTCAAAACTATCACCATCCTGTCTCCATTGTACTAAAAGGGAATCCATCCGATATCAGGGTAGGAGACTTGCCCAAGATCCCACAGCAGGTCGACCAGACACTAAACCCCAAAGAAAAGTTACATGCTGAACACTCTGATGGAGAACATGGAGGGCATCAGATTTTCTAGGAAATGCACCATTGCACAACACCCTGGTTTGGAAAACGGAGGGATATAGAAGCAGAAAGCTTGGGCCAGCCCAAGAAAGGAGTGGGATCAGAACGGAGGTCAACAAACCAGTGCCCTGACCTGGAGCGTATTTGTTTACTCCTCAGAGTCCATTGGTCACCTCACCGTGCTAGGGGAACCCTGACTCAAGATCCCTCAGATCACACCCTGCTCTGCGCAGAGAGCGAGGTGAGAGCGCCCGCGTCTTCACTCAGGAGTGAAAGCATTCGAATGTCAGAGGGTGAGTGGCACATTTCTCGGCCCTTGCTCCTGGCTTCCCTTGGGTCACCGAGAAGAGGAAGCTCAGGGAGTCAGAGCGCGACCGGACATCTCCCCCGCCCCGTTCCCCTTCCACCCAGTAAGGTACTTCTCACCTGGGACGCGCTGCCGTAAGGATGTCCAAAGGGCGGGAAGGCCATAGCAGCTGGCTGTCCTGGGACCAGTCTCTCTCTTTCCTTCTGAGTCCCTCGCTCAGCTCAGCTAGCTATTTGATGGCCCCAGCCGAGCGGCTTCTGCTTTCCTTACTGGGATGCAGGTGCTCGGAGCCAGTTCCTTGGCCTGCTGAGTGGGACTGCCGGCAGAGTCAAAGGCAGCCGAGCCGCGGAGCCCTGCACTTGAGAAGGCGCCCCTGCGGCCAATGGGGTCCTGAAGGCAGAGGGGCCCATGGATCGTCAGAGTTAGGAAGAAGGCGCGGGGTGCCAAAGGCGCCTGGTGGCGAGATGAGGTGCGGTGCGGCTTGGGGCTGTGAGGTCCCAGAGGTGTCCCAGTCCAAGGTGGCCAGAGGCTCAACGTGACGTCACGGTAATCCCGGGCCGCCAGAGGGGACCGCGGGCCCCGGGGCCCCGGGCCACCGAGCGTGCCAAGGGCAGCCAGCCCGTGTACGCGCGCGCTCTCTCAGACACTCTTCCCTGCTCAGTGAGGTTTATGCAGCAGGCGAGGAACGTCAAAGACCCTGACCTTCTGCTCGCCGCTAGATCCTACCAGCTTTTGCCTCCAGCTCACGCGCGCGCGCGCGCATACAGACCCTCTCCAAATTCCCCGGGAGAAGTGGGAGATGCGCCTCCCTGAGCACCGCGCGGGCCCAGGGCACAGCGTGCTCGCCTCCTCCCCTGCGGCCCCGAGGAGGCGAGAGGCAAGCGGGGCGGCGAGGGAAGAGAGAATACAAAAGAAGAGCCCGGAGGAAAGTGGGGGAGTCAGACAAGGGGGGAGAAGAAGGAGGGAGAGGAGAGATGAGGAGTCTGATGGCGGGGGGTGGGGGAGTGGGGTGGGCGAGGGCTGGGCGGAGGCTGAGCCGGAGCAGGTGGAGGAGAGCAGCGACTCTGGGGACCAGCTTCCAACCCATCTCTGCCTCTCTGCTGCACCAAAGTTTGTTGGCCCTGCTGTCCTGGAGCTCGTAGGGTTGGACTAACGCGAGCAGCTTTGATGGATACCACCTTTGTCCTTGGGGATCTGGCTTGGGTCTCAGTTTCCCAAAACCGTTGGCTAATTCTAGCCCTGGCCAGGTCTTTGATCCCTGGGGTTTCTCTGTAGGGTTCTGACCCTGAGGCCGACGAGCGCCCCCTCCAGATCAAGGTACAGCATCCGTTGGAGAGCCCCCCTAGACACGCCAAATCTGATCGCTGGCATCTGTAGGCTGCCAGCCAAGCGTATGGGCCATCTCCTCCAAAGGCCAGGCTTGGCTGCCTCCCTAGCGCCGCCTGCGGTGTCCGCCTAGAGCCTGAAGAGGCACGAAGGCAAGAGGGTTGCAACTGCTGCGCTCCTCTAGGGGTGGCGCTGGCGAGCCGCAGTGGAGAGCTCCGGAGGGAGCTGCACTGGACACCCAGCTGGGCCCAGTGTTGGAAGAAACCCCTCTCGGGACTTCTCAAAAGAGCATGGATTCCCCTGGGAGGTGGGGGTGGGTTGTTTGCCTTCTCCCAGCAGAGGATGCCAGTTGGCCAGTGCTATATAGATTTTGCACACTTGCAGGCTGACACCTTTCCAAAGACTCCAACATGAAACTAGATGTCTAAGAGTCAGGAGGAACTCGCAGACTCTCGATGACAGGTCTTAGGTGGCGCTGCTGCGACACCAGGTGGAGACTGCAAACCAGAAAGTCTTTTCTTTCAGTCCCAGGTCACAGGGCAGTGCACTTGACAGTTTTTGGACAGTCCTAGATCTTTATACACCTCCTCCAGGGGTCATGGGGGCTTACTCAAGGTCAAGAGCAAATCTATCTATCTATCTATCTATCTATCTATCTATCTATCTATCTATCTATCTATC